AGTTGATGTAGTTTCGATTTTGTTCAACTCGATGTGTTAGGAAATAGTGTGTTATCTACTAATAATTGTACGAGCTCGTTTAACTTGGACAAGATCACCCTAATCTATGTTAGTGAGTATTATTCTATCTTAATTAAGATTAGATTGTTTACCTACCCTTCATCCTAAACTTTCATTGAAAAGTAAAAAAGTTTAAGTTGAAGTGGTGATCATGTTGTATACTCCTATTGCTTCTTCTATAATATTTGTCTAAGGTAGGGTGGGCATTGCAAGGTTGTTTAGGTTTTGGAAATGGACTAAATTTATATGTAATTTTATAAATATTTTTAGGGGAACTCTAATTAGGATTATTCTTTATATCAATGTCTATGTAATAAAATATTTTAATGTCAAGGTAAAATTCCTTTTTAATGGAAAATAACCAAAAACACATTAACAAATGGGTGTGAGTGAGTATTATACAAAATAGTTTAAATATGTATTTAGTTTCTCAATTTGTTATAATTATTTAGTTTTAAAAAAATATTTTAGAAATTAACTTAAAAAAAATAGTGTTAATATGTTAATGTTAATATTGTTGTTTGTAACAAGACATGGAACCAATGATTCCATTGTAAAATAAAATTTAGGTAAGGTGATTGTTTATTTATTTTTATAAATTCTTATTAAATTTTTTAAGTGTGAAATATATTTTTCATGTAATAATTATGAAAATTGTGTATTTATTTATAATATAACTAAAATATTATGATCACCTATTATTAATTATTTTTAAGTCACTACACTTTAATAGTCATGAAATTGAAATTTTTAATTAAAATATATGTCGTCAATATATATACTATTTAACGAATCAATGATATAAAATAATGTTGAAAAATTCAAGTGTGAGTCTACAAAGAATGAAGAAGTTGAGTAGCATATAAGAAAAAAAGATACATAACTTAATGTTTTAAGGTTTTTAGTTAAAAATGATGTAAATTTTTTATATGGGTTAGATTCATGTTTTATTGGTGTTATCTTTCCCTAATGAATCCCCTTGAAAGAATTATCAGTAGTATTAAATTAGTTTATATGGTGACCAACAATTTAGGAGTGATTCCTGTATTAAAAGTCTTTCTTAACGATGGATCAGGCAAACATGTCCCCCATACAAGTAAAAGTCACTTGTGTGCTTGAGGAGAATGTACTAATGTGAAGAGATTCATACTTGAGGTGAAAATTGTTAAAAAATCCAAGTGTGAGTGTAAGTTTTACATTGGATACAAATGAGGAAGTTCAACAACATGTAAAGAAGAAAAATCAACAACCTAATGTCTATAGGGTTTATGTTAAAAATAATGTCAATTCCTTATATAGGTTGGACTCAAGTCTCATTGACGCTGTCTCTCCTTGATAAATTTTCTCTCGAAAGACTCGTAAATGGTACAAAGTCGTCGATTTGTATGATGACCAATAGTTTAAAAATGACCCTTATATTAAAAATCTTCTTGACGAAAGTTCAAACAAGTGTATCTCGTTATGATGAAAGCGATATAAGTAAGAGTCATTAGTGAACTCAAAGAGAATGTACAAATATTAAGGACTTGCTCTTGAGATGAGAAGAATGTACTAATGTTAAGGGACTCATACTTGAGGCGAAAATTGTTAAAAAAATCCAAGTGAGTATAAGTTTTGTATTAAATAAGAATAAAAAAATTAAACAACACATAAGAAAAAAAAACGTATAACCTAGTACCTTAAGTTTTGGGGCTCAAAATGGTATTTATCACTTAAATAAATTGAAGTCATATTTTATTGGTATTATTTCTTCTTAATTAAACTCATATTTTATTGATATTATTTCTATTTGATAAACTATTTTTTATAATAATCACAAGATGTATCAAATAACTAATTTTTATAATAATAATTAAAAATTTAACAAAATAGGTAATTTTGAATGAAAATCAATTAAAATATTTTAATGATACTAAATATAAATATTTATCAAATAGCCAATTTTTTTGTTTAATCTATGTAATTAAATTGGTTAGATAAATAAAAAAGTTTTGTATTTATCACGTGAACAATGATACTAGTAAGTGTTTTAATTATATTAAAACAAGTAAAGAGTATTAGCATTTTCCTCTCTAGGAAGAAAAAATACATATTCTAAAAGATAGAACATGCAAGTTTTAAAACTTTTTAATTTTCACTACTAGAAAATATGCTTTCAACATCGCTGTTTTACGTCGGTTACATTGTAGCCGACGTTGAATATGCTTTCAACGTCGGTTGTCCAACAACCGACGTTGAAAGTCGAATTTTGGCACATTCTACGTCGTTTTAGCATGCCCGACGTGGAAAGTAGGCTTTCAACGTCGGTTATGCCCTCACCCGACGTTGAAAACCCTTATGCATGGGCTTTCAACGTCGGGTGTGGGTATACCCGACGTTGAAACCCACAAAAACTCACACACTTTAGATAGCGGTTATATGGGAACCGCTATCTAAAGTGCACTTTAGATAGCGGTTCTAAGGGAACCGCTATCTAAAGTGCACTTATGATCGTTCATTTCAAGTTATGATCGATCAGAATCTTATTTCGCTCGAGCGAGAGTAGTGTCGCTCAAGCGAAATACAACCCGAGAATGCTAATTTTGTGCAGGGGGCGTTTCGCTCGAGCGAGAACGGTGTCGCTCAAGCGAGATACACTTTAGATAGCGGTTATAAGGGAACCGCTATTATATCCTCTCAATTATGATCGATCATTGCGAGTTATGATCGATCAGAATCTTATTTCGCTCGAGCGAGGGTAGAATCGCTCAAGCGAAATACAACCCGAGAATGCTAATTTTGTGCAGGGGGCGTTTCGCTCGAGCGAGAAGGTATCGCTCAAGCGAGATACATTTTAGATAGCGTTTCAATCGATTAAATCTCGTTTCAATCGATTAAAACAATTCTACACAAGCGTTTTAATCGATTAAAACTTATTTTTATCAGTTAAAATTAGTTGAAAAGTTTTACGAGAAAGTTTTGCGAGTATTTCAATCGATTGAATCGCGAAACAATCGATTAAATCAACTTAGAAGATTTTTTGTTAAGTGTTTTAATTGATATAAACGTTGCAGAGTATCAGCTTAAAACAAATCATGTTAAAGAATCAAGAACGTATTAATGGATTAAAAGAAGTTTTAACGATTAAAACTGCACTTTTAACGATTAAAAGAATCTTTTAACAGATTAATTAAACCAGCAGTTTTGAAAATCTTCTATAAAAACAGTTTGGCTTGAACTTTGGGGTTCGTTGTCGCCGAGTTGGGGTTCGGCCTCGAGTTCGTCGAGGTAGGCTCGGGGTTGAGATTCGAAGTTGCTTGGGTTTTGATTGGGTGTTTTGGTCACTCGGATTTGAGATTCAAGGTCACTGGGTTGGATTTCAAGCTTGAGGTCGAGTCATGCATGTCTGGGTTAAAGATCTTCGAAGCTGAATAGAAGGGTGGAGGATTGGGGTTGGAGAGACGAAGGTGATTAAGCTCGAACAATGGTGGATAGTCACTGGTACAAGGTCACAAAGAGGGAGTGAAATTGTGAGCGAGAAGGTGAATTTGGGAGGGTCTGTCAGCATGAAGAACACAAAATTTTGGAGGATTATCGGTGCGAAGAAGATGAAAGTATCGGGTTTATTTGTATATATTTACACGGATATATATTTATTTGTATATAAATATAATTTATTTGTAAGTTATTATCAAAAAATTCAAGCGAGTTTAGTGGTTGGAGTATCGACTCTCCAACTCTAAAGTACTTAGGTTCGAATCCTGCCAATGACAATTCTCTTAAAAATTAAAAAACTTCTAAAAATATAATATAAAGAGATGGAGGACCAAATAAAAATATAATAGGAAGAGAGGGAGACTTCTAGATAATAAAGGGGGTAAAGGGGTTGTAAATAAATAAAAATTATTAATTTAAAAAATCATACTTTCAACGTCGGTTCTAAAAATCGACGTTGAAAGTCGACATTAGATAGCGGTTCCCTTATAACCGCTATCTAAAGTGTATTTTTCAACATCGTTTTTTGCAACCGACGTTGAAAGTTACGACTTTCAACGTCGCCGATACAACGCTTCGGTTATTAAACCGACGTTGAAAGCCTTCCGAACCGACGTTGAAAGTTTTATTTGTAGTAGTGTTTCCGACCATTTTTTTTAAATAAACTAGGTCTAAATTAAAAAAACTCTATAACCTCCACCACAAAATTTCATTACACAATTTTATCGAAATAAAATCCCTATCCAATTATAATTAGAGAAAATAATATTAAAAAATATCTAAAACTATGTCTAAATTTAAATTATTTTATAATGTGTGTGAGAGAGAGAGAGAACGTAATCTAAGTTCTTGATTGAACTTTTAAACTTTTCATTGATTCTTACTTATCCATCTCCTATTTAATACAGTAATAAAAAACTAAAAATTAAAGAAAAAAAAAACTTTTTTATTTCTCTCCATGAAAATGCAAATAAAGCATTAATCAAAGGATGCACCGAATATACTAACATGTGGCCCCTCCCCACTCCAAAACGCCCCCAACATGTCATTACCAAACCAAACAAGGAACAATTGCAACAAAACAAAACAAAATATAAAATATATATAAAATCATAATCCTCAATGATAAACATGCGTAACAGTCAACAAAAAGGAAAAGGATAAATAAATTAATTAATCAAAACATTTTATTTTTTTCATATTCCCCTCATAAATTACATAAAAAAAATAGTCATAACTCATAAGCCTTGAAAACTCTCTAGGCATCACAACAGAAAACAGTAACAATCCCGTAGAATTACAAATTCTCTCTCCATTCAACAACAACATTAAAAAAAAAAAAATGAGATCCAATCGTTTCCTGTGTATTTCTTCTCTCTCTCTTTTTTTCATTAAATTTCTAGATAGCAGAAGATCAAAAAAGACTGAAGGGAAAAACCCCAAAAGCGCGTTTCCGCAACGCGCGTTCATCTGTGCGCAGTAATCAGCGTTTCAATGAACCGTAACCCGTCGAACCGCGGCGCGAACTTCTCCGTCGACGATGCACTCGCGGCCGGCGAGAACCCGACGCGGCAGCTCTGCGCCCCACTGTCCTGCACAACGGAAAAGGGAGTTTCAATTTCACCGAATGATGAACATATAAATTGACAAAAACGAGAATTTTCACATTAAATTTTTCAGATCCCGCGGTTTGAAACAGAATCACGACCAGAAAAGATAAATTTTGGGATTGAAGGCGAGTACCTGAAGAGAAAACTTGACAGATGAGGATAGGGAAACGGCGGCGGCGGCGGCGGCGACAGAAGCAGCGAGGATGGCGGATTTGTTCATGGTGGAGAGTTTGGCTATCTAGAAAATTTTGGAGAATTTTTAGGGAAAATGAGAGAAAATTGTGGAGTGTGTTTATTTAAATGGTTTTGACGGCTTATATATAAAGAGAGTGGGGTTGAGGTTGGAGGGTAATAACGGAATAACGATAAAAATTAATTACGCGGCAATTCTTCATTGCGTTCAAATTACCTTTTTCTCTTTTCTAAACATTAATCTATCATTTTTAATACTAATAATAATAATCAATATTATTATTGTATTATATTAGATGTGTTAAATAATTTTTTTCTTATTAATTTTTTTTATCGTTTTTCATGTTAATTTGATTTTACTTTTTTAATAAATTAATTTGATTTCTTTTTATCAATTCTATTAAATTATAAAGTGGTATAACATATTTGTTTATGTTATTTGATTTTTGAACTATATGATCGATGCATTGATCTATATATAGAGAGAGACCTGTGATTTATATTTTATTCATATTTCAGTAACACTGTTTATATTATATAAGTATATTCTAAATTATTTTTACACTGATTAATATGATTTGTCAAGTTCAATAAATAATAAAAATATTATGTTTTTGTGTTCGTTTAGTTAAATTATTTTTTCTTCTATATTTATATAATTTATTTTGTTTTATCCCTGTGTTATTATAAGTTTTTTATTTCTTTCTTCAAACCTGGTTGATGAAATTATTTGTATCAATTCATAAGAGGGATAAAATTGATATTAATTTACAGATTAAAGGATTTAATTGAAATTTATAATAATTAAAAGCTAAATAAAATAAATTATATAAATATTTATTTATTTATTTTTGTTATGAAAAATATTTAAAATTATTCAAAAAATGTGAATAATATTATCATTCACGAGAAGGAGCAATGAATATCTATTTACAATATATGTGTCATTTCAAAAAAATCTCTTACAACAAGTGAAATAATAGTTATTTGAACAACTTTTTATTAAAAATTTATATGATGAAATAATAATTATTTGAAACAAATTTTTATTAAAAAATTATATGTGATATAATTATTTTATTAAGAAATTTATAAAAATAAATAAAATAAAATAAGAAAATATAGATTTTTAAATTTTATAAAAAAACTATTGGACTAAAATTAATGATGAGATATAATAAATTTATATTTTTATGTTTTTTCAATATGAAAAATAATTTAAAAAGAAACTATAAAACAAAATATTAAAAATAAATAAATAATATATATATATATATATATATATATATATATATATATATATATATATATATATAAGTAAGCAATAAATATTAAGCAAAGATCTATTGCGACAAATTTTGATATTGATTTAAGGGAGAGTATTCATTTTGCATGATTAAAAATATTGAAATTCAAGTTTTTTTTTTTTAAATGATCAAACCAAGTGAGATACTACCATTAGATTTACTCTTTATGAATTTCTATCTAAATATAGTTAGGATAATATATAAACAAAAAATTATCACACACTAATCATATAACATCTATATTTAATTAAAAAAAAAATCATAGATAGATATTTTGTACACTTTAAAAGAATCAAGAGTTATTAATTATTAGATCTCAACATGTAATTTATTTATTCTTTTATTTAAAAAACTACCTTCTAGGACAGATTTAAAAAACAATTGACCAGTGTGTTTTTTATTTATTTATTTATCAAACAACTTCACAAATTATTATTGAAATAATGTTTTTAAAATTTATTTTATTTTTTAAACTAAAGTATTCGAATGCTTATAGTTTATTATATTTTGGTTATTACTAAAATTCAAATATTTTATATTTTTATGTTTCATGTATATCTTTAGGCTTATTGAATGGTAAAACAACATATGTAAAAGCTAATATTAAAAGGTTAATTTTATGAGGAATACAAAAATTATCTCATGTTTAGACAAATTTTTGTTTAAGTTTAAAATTTATTTTAATATAAAAATAAAGAATATATATATATATATATATATATATATATATATATATATATTACAACTCTTAAAGTCTTGTTATAATTAATAATTCAAAATTATAACTAAATATTAGAAAAATTGCATTCGAACTTATGAATAAAAACTGTAAGTAAATATTTAAAATATCATAGTTTTTTTAAGTATATTTTTCTTAATTGTTTTAGTAACTATTTTATTTGAAGTCATAAACACATCCATAAAATTAATTTTAAATTTTAAAATGAGTTTAATTAATAATTTTTTTAAAAATAATTAATATTTTATTATTTATAATATTATCTTTAAATACATTTAAGTAATAATTATAACGTATAAACTTCAAAAAAAAATTGTATACTTGTTACATGAAATATTTAGAAGATTGGAAATATTTTGTTAAGGCAAAATATAATAATATCAATGTATATTAAAAACTATTTCATGAATAATTTAAAAAAAATAACAAATATATATTATAGTTAAGAATTAAAAAAATTAACTACATACAAATTAAAAGATCCAAAGCATACTTAGAGTAGTTGGATGTAAATGAATTTGAATAGGATACCATTATTAATAATTATTAGAAACGAGACCTAATTTGGGAAAAGATAACAATTAAGATTTTGTCATCACTGACTTGTAGAAAGATTTATAACTAATGAATGAAGAAAACGGTGGTGACATGAATGGAGGAGACTATGCCAACTAAACATTACAGTTGGAAGGTATGAATTTTGAAATCCATAGTAAGTGCATTGATTATTGATTGGTGGAGTATTTTAGAAATATTAGTCAATTATGTTAAGTCAATTAATAGTAATATAATTTTTAGGATGTATTTACAATGCATTATGAAAGAGAGTAATACATTAATTTTTTATATTATTTTAATATTTTATACATGTTTTAATTTAGTTCATAGATTATTCTAACCAAAATTTTAGAATTATTTTGAGAGTAGTTAGTATTTGCTGTCTTGTTCTCTTAATTCATTACATCTTTTTTAGTTTTTTTTTCTACTGTACTGGTAGCATTACTAATATGTATATATTAATGATCATTGTACGTGAATTATCATAAAACTATTTGATGATAATATTTTTTTTAACTTTTTAACCTCAATTAGAAAATGAATAATTATTGCATGTCAGAAAAGGTAACGTTTTTAATTATGATTTTTTGTTATAGTTATCATCGTGGTTGGTTAAAAAAAAAATTCATTCTTACTGTTAGTAAGATGCTTTGTATCTTATGCAAAATTTTAAAATTCTTATTGTGAATAATATTAAGAGTTATTTATTAAAATTGATGATAATTGCAAATTGGTAATATAAAGGAATCAATTCTCTTTAATTATAATTTATACGAGAATCATATAGTCTACAATAGTAATAATTTTTTAATATTATATAAAATTTACAAATATTTTAAAATTGTGTGATTCTTTTTTTATTATTTCTCTTTAATTTTTTTTTCAATTTTTATAAACTCTAATTATGAAATTTGAGAATTTAAAAATTTGATTTTTAAATTTTTAATTTCTTAATGTTTTAATACTTGAATTCAGTACTTGAAATATGAATCTACCCACTGTTACACGCTTTGGAAAAGTTAAACGGGTATGTATTCCATAACGTGAATGAATATAGTATACATATGTCAATAATATGCACTTGTGCATTGAATTTCTGCAGCAAAAGAAAAATATTTTTTTATATGATATAATTTAATATTTTATTACGTGACATATGTTTAAAATGAAATTAATGAGAGTGCTATACAGGTTAATAAAAATAAAAGTCACACACATATATATATATATATATATATATATATATATATATATATATAAATATAATAATTAAGCCTTAAATTTAAATATAAAAAAAACTACAATTACATAATTTGTTAAATTACAAGACCAAATTAATAAATTTGAAAATATAAAAATAAAGATAAATTTATAAGAGTGCAGGGAAACATATTTTTCTCATTACATTTGTATATTTAGATTAAATAACTATTATTTTAATGGTGTAAATTGAATTAAATACATGTATCGTTAGGAAGTTATTCTACTAGTTTATATTATATAACATTTATTAGTATATTTATTCATAATATCAATTGTCGCATTTCACTTAATATATTTTTTATTATATTTTAATTAACAAGGTAAAAATTTGCTCATAACCCATGCATGAAAATTTAAAGTCAAATGTTTACAATAAAATTTCATTATTACAAAATAGTTACTTAAGACATGGGTAAAAGTACAATGGAGGAAAAAAATAATGAGATATTTATATCTTCTCAGTATAATTTTCTAACTTTCAACTTTTCAAGAAATTTGTTTATTATCAGACTAAAAGCACAAACCCTACAGAAAATAGATTTAGGTTGCCATGATAAAATCTCTGCTCAATAGTTAAAAGACTTAAAAAAAAGAAAAAAAAAAGAAAAAGAATGATGATAGCAATCCTGCATTGGAACATAAAATAATTTAAAAATAAAAGTTGAGAGTAGGAAACCAACACTAAGAATAAATAAAAGACAAAAACTATAGTTAAAAAAAATCACTTAAGCAATTATTTAACATTTAGGCCTTAAAAAGAAAGGTGTGAAGAAAGTGGTGACACAGTGGTTTAGCAACAAAGAAAGAATTGGTATACGCAATCTTGACTCATAATTTAGGGCACTTTTTGTATCTCTACGAGCTTACTTTGCCAAAGGAAATTTGATATTCATGGGTTGAACGAGCCTTTACAAGACCTTTTCTTTTAATACATATTTTTTTTAATTTATGTTTTGATTGTCACTTTAATACATATTTTTATGTGATAATGATGTAATAATATGTATAATAATGAATAATATATACTTTCAGATTGTCATTTATTTTATATCTTATGGGCATCAATCTATTTTATATGTATGTGATTAATATGTTTATTTATCATATTACTACTATTAAAATAATAATAATAATAATTTTTAAGAATCAAAGAAATCCAAT